TATAAATAATTATATTAGTAGGGAATGGTAATAAATTGCCTATCTATGACAATTTCCTACTCCTCTGGTCTAAACTTTAAACTGTTATAACTCATAAATGGTTAATATGAAATTAATGTTATTCATATCAACATTTCCAGAAAAATATTCTCCATTCAAATCTGTTTTCAAAGGGGAGAGGTTTCTATTTGAAAATCAAAAGTATGCGCTTATTTAAGATATATGGAGTAGGGGTATAAACATTACAAATGGTTTTAAAATAAAGCTTAAACAATTCTATAATGGTTAGAAAAAACAGAAATTAAATTCACTTAAAATCCTCTGAGATAATAGGTGGTTCATGATAAAAAAAAACACCCTATATATATACAAACACACAAGTTAGTTTACAGAGTATTCAGGAATCATCAAGTTAATAATTTACTTTTGCAACTCTAATTATTTCAGGTATGTCAAGGTATGCTTCCACTGGTGCTTTTCCTTTTCCAACTAGATATGATTCATCAGCCTTCAACCTATGCATGTGCATTTTATCTTGTTCAGAATATATGGCAACAGATTTTATACCCAATTCAGTACATGCTCTGAATACACGTATAGCAATTTCACCTAAGATTATATAAAATCAAACTCATAAAAATTGCATTCAAATAATGATTATATTTTTAATACACTGACCTCGGTTAGCCACAAGAACACTTCTAATTGGTTTGTAATCAACTTTAGAAGAATACCTGGCACGTGATAAAGACAGGGCTATGAACTGGTTCCGAACATGGTTCCGGACAGAACCACTTACATTTGAAATTATCATGATGTTAGAAGTACTAGGACTTCACTTAAATCTATAAAATAAATTATAATAACTAAATAAAAACATATACACTTTAATTATCAAACATTACGATAAATATTTTATTCTACACTAATACAGAATATATATTAACAATAGTTTTAAACTTAAAATTTATTTAACATAAATATTATTATTTAATGTATGAATTCAAAACATTTAAAGAAAAATATAGTAATAAAATTACACCTTTCTAAAATTTAATGGAATTATGCTTTCATTACCGACCTCAAATTTGTTTGTAATTAATTTACTTCCGAAACTAAAAATAAATAAATTTCTATTTTTAAATTACATAGGTGAAATTAATCTAAAAATGAAATAAATTTCATTAAAATTGCAATATACAGTGTCCCACAAAGATTTGACAAATGCAATAACTTTTTTTCTGCGCTAAAGTTTATTTATGAACATTTTTTTTTTAGGGTTGGGCGACTTAAAAAACAAAATTTAAAATTTTACATTGATTTTTTTTTAAAAAAATTCAAAATAGCCATTTTATAAAATAGATTTTTAGAAAATTGTTGGTGTTTGAAATATTTTTAAAATGTGGTCTTTTATTTCTTACAATTTTTTGAAAATTTGAATAATT